ACTCGCGAAACACTTCAGATGCATTCGAAAAAAAACTTTTTTTACAAAAACATTACTGGCCATAGAGAAAACAATCGGCGTTCCGAATTCAAAGAGCAAATAACAAAAACAGCGCGATTATATCTTCGAGTGTAGAGTGGCGCGGTTTCTCATGGGGTGATGTTTTGGCAGCGACGCTAGAGGGAGCCAGCGAAGCTGCGGTCAACAGGATTATAAATTTACTGAGACAGTCCCAAAAATTTTAATTTTGTCTAAATGTAATGTAAAATTTTGACCTGATTTTATATAAAAAATCAAGAAGGTTAATAAGGGGGTCAAAACTGTAATTGATTATTATTTTATTGGTGGATAATGGATAATTTAAATTTAAATATGAAACATGCAAACAAAAGCTCATTCTGAAAAAAAAATAAAAAGATTTTTTCTGATGACAAATCTAAACCAAACTAGAATATTCTAATAACTGCAAATAATTCCCGGTGAAATTATAAAATATCATGGACACCCTAGTAATATGTCCGGTAGCCCGCGGCGATCGGCTCCCACGGGTGTTGGCGCGAATTAGCGCTCAATTAGGCGGCTGATTCGATTTGCTGCGGCCACTGCGCCCGCGCCCGAGTCCGCCTTTTGAGCCCTGCCCTGTGCGCGGGAAAACGACGGCGACGTCTTGAGAAAAAGCATTGAAAATTAGTCGTCCATGCAATTTGTATTTCCTAATTTATTTTAATCAAACAAAGACCTTCACTTGTGTAACTTTGTGTCTTGTTCTAAACTAAGTCTAATTATTGAACTATTGTCAACAATACATAAGAAGCACATGTAAAACAACACATATAAAACTAATTAGGTTTTTTAATACCGCGCGTAGAGTCGCCGGCAGCAATTAGTAAATATATATTTCCATTACAAAAAAAAAATATTCTATAACTTTAGCTTTCTACATTATTTCTGGAAAAGTGGTCATTAACTCAAATCTTCTAACTTGCGTGATGGAATTTAATAAAATTTGAATTAATCGATTAAAATCGATATGTTAACAAAAAATATCGATTACAGGAATACGAGCGCTGGGCCACTTGTATCGAGTGGGCATTCGATTGCTGCCCCACATGAGAACCGAGCTGTACTCGACTTGCGCTTTGTTTTCCCGCCTTTTGTGTATAATTCTTATTTATAAGGAGCGATCTTGATAACGCGAGTACGACTGGGTTGCCAGGTTTGTAAACTTTGTATTAATTTTTAAGATTCCGACGGCTGATACGGTTCGTATTAGTTTTAAAAGGTTTTGTTTTCGAACGAGTTTTTGTTGCTTTGACGTATTTAAATATGTGTGCTATTTTGTATTAGTTGATTGCGATTGTTAACTGTTTTTAATTGAGTGTATTGATTTATTAAATTAAAAACTTGCTTAACAAAGATGGCGGTTGAGTACTTGATAAACCACTGTTATATTTTATTGTAAACAACATATAACAACCTTATATACGTAAACATAATGCGATGTACAATAACTATGATTCTAAGCAAACTTTTTGGGTAGTGTTACTAATTTTGGGTTAAAATAAAAGATTAATTAGAAATCTTTAAATATAATTTTTTAGGTTATAAAATTACCCGCTCAATCTAATGTGACAAATGTAATGAGAGAGAGTTATAATAATCATAGACATTGTGTTTTTTTTTTAAATCCGTAACATTCACCCCCTTGCTGACGAAGTCTGAATATAAAGCTAATGTGAGGTGAAGTATAAAATTAAAGTTAATTTGATCTTGACAAGTATAAAGATTTGACATTACAAATAACAATTAAGTGACATGAATGATTGACAACTGTTAAGATAATAAATTGAACAAAATAAAATAATGAGTTAATTACAATAGCTAAATTAATGTTAAATTAAGTAATAATTCAAACAAAAATAACTTTACAGTGATGTGAATTTACAAGTTTAAGTGTAGTGCAGTAATTATATTAAGTAATTCTCTGTTTGTAAATTGAAATTAAAGTTAAATTACAATCAATTGTAGTATTATTTCTATTACAATCTTAGATCTATCTTAGGTATAAGTCTAGGGTAAAGAATATTATATCTAGGAGCTAAATTACATAGTTTAATTCTAAGTAAAATTTTAAATTACATTAGCATTTTGAATAACATTAACATTTTGAAATTAAAGAAAATATAAGCAGAATTACTGAGATGGTAATAAGACAAGTTTATGTATAGGGCGCTTGTACTGTCCCTTGGCAGTTTTAACTAAGACTGACCGGGTTAGGTGGTCATCTTTTGAAATATAAATCTCGATAATTCTCCCTATTGGCCAACACATTGGCGGAGTATTTTCATCTTTGATAAGAACTATATTTCCTACTTGTAAATTAGGAGAATCTGTAAACCACTTTTGCTTAGTTTGAAGTTCAGACAAATATGTTTTGTAAAATTCCTTCCAGAATTGCTGTTTAATTGATGTAATCCTTTGCCAAATATTAAATCTATTGGCTGAACTTTGAGCTAGACTGGGCTCTGGTACATCTAACATTGTTGTGCCAATAAGAAAATGACTTGGGCTTATATAATTAATTGAATCTATGTTATCAGTAGTTGCAAATAATGGTCTTGAATTTAATATTGCTTCAATTTGACAAAGTATGGTAGACAATTGTTCATAGGTCATTCTACAGTTACCTAATTTTCTTTTAAGTAAATATTTAGTTTGTTTAATGCATGACTCATAGATTCCTCCCATATGACTAGCGAGAGGTGTGGTGAAAGTCCACTTTATATTTAGATTGTTAGTATAGTCCATAATCTGACTGTAAGATGTCTCATTTTTGAACATATTATACAGGTCATGTAGTTCATGAGCTGCACCTTTGAAATATAAAGCATTGTCTGATAAAATGCTGCTGCAGATACCTCTACGAGCAATAAATCTTTTTAGGCATGAAATAAATGATGGTGTTGTAAGATCAGTTGATAATTCAATATGTATGCATCTAGTTGATAGACACACTAGTATTAAGATATAGCTCTTTATAAATTTAGCATTGCGTAAGTTTGAACTTTTAATGTATATTGGACCTCCATAGTCTACTGCTATGTGTAGGAATGGTCGTTCTAAATTAACTCTATGAGATGGTAGGTTAGCCATCTTTTGTCTACAGGTCTGACCGCGATATCTGGTACATACTGTGCACTTGTAGACAATTTTCTTAACTTCAACTCTAGCATGGATAGGCCAGTAAGTAAGTCTTAGGTTTGAGAGTGTGTTCTGAATGCCTGAGTGAAAGAGTTGTATGTGATATTTTTGTATGATGAGAGATGTGACATGGCACTTGGGTAATATTATAGGATACTTCTGATTGTATTGGATGTTTGCATGTTTAATTCTACCGCCTACTCTTAATAGGGAGTCTTCACTGTCAATAAATGGGGATAGTCTTTTGAGTGGACTGTTTGAATAGGTATAATTAGTTTTACCTGACTTCAATTCTAATATTTCTCTTTTAAAGTGAGATGCTTGTACAACTTTTATTATAAAGTTATGGCTAACTTTTAATTCTTCAGGTGTGAGAGGACCTGTGATTTTATGTTTGTGTTTGAGATTATGACAAAATCTGTGGCACTGAGCAATTGTGTTTAATAATCTTTGAAAACTTGAGAATCTTTCAAATATGGTCATAAAGTATTCTAAGTCATCATCATTATAGTATTCTGAGACAGTTTGATTTGTATGAGGACTTACTACTTTAATAAGATAGTTTTCTACATCTGTAACTGTTTGAGCAATGCTGTAGGGCCAGTCACTAGGTGGTGAGAGCAAGTATGTAGGACCGTGCCACCATAGTGATAAACTATTTAAATCTTTAGCATGTACGCCATGAGTAAGTAAGTCTGCAGCATTGTCATGAGTTCTAGTATGAATCCACAAATTAGAATCTGAATTTTGTAATATTTGTGATACTCTATTTGATACATAAACTTCCCATTTCTTGTAGGGTGAGTTTATCCAATTTAAAACTATACTTGAATCTGTAAAATAGTATACAGAATGTATTTTAATAGCTACTTCTAAGGCAAGTTTCACCTTTTTCATTAATTTTGAGAGTAGCGTAGCGCTAGAAAGTTCTAATTTTGGTAAGCTGACTGTGCGTACAGGGGCAACTTTGCTTTTGCTAATAACTAAATTAGAAGTTGGTTTATGATTAGGATAATGTGCTACAAGGTAGATACATGCGCCATAAGCAACTAGTGAGGCATCACAATATCCTACTAAATAAATTTCATTTGGTATATCTGAGAAACAATATCTAGGAATAGTAATATCTTTTAATATTTGAATATTATCATAGAAGGACAGCCATTGTTGTAGTAAATGTTTAGGTAATGGTGTATCCCATTGTATGATACTGGATTCTTTCCATAGCTGTTGCATGAAAAGTTTTGCAGTGATTGTAACAGGTGAAAGGTAACCGAGTGGGTCATAAATCTTGGCAATTATTGAGAGAACAATTCTTTTAGTAAAATGTAAATTACATTGCTGAGAGGGAATGTTAACTTTAAATGTATCTGTTGCAGGTTCATACTTGAGACCTAATGTACTAGTTTCATTACCAATAATAAGGCTGGTTGGCGAATGTTCACTTTTGTTACTTTCAACATCTTGTAATATCTGAGGATTGTTAGATGACCATTTATGTAATTGGAAACCACCTCTTTTAAATAGAGAAATTAATTGATTGCAAAGATCTCTAGCTTCAGAGAGTGAGTTTGTTCCACAATGGACATCATCCATAAATGTTTGATATAAAATGCATTTTGCAGCTAATGGATAGATGTGACCGTCCTGATGGGCAAGCTCTAATAATGTCCTAAATGCTAGATAAGGAGCACTTCTAGTCCCATATGTGACTGTATTCAGTCTAATAACTTTAAGATCATCGTTAGGAGATGCTCTCCATAGTATACATTGCAGGTTGCAATGTGAAGGATCTATGTTTATATTTCTGAACATTTTAATTAAATCACATGACAGTACATATTTATAGGTTCTATACCTTAATATAATGTCTATTAGATCTGTGTAAATGTTAGGACCCTCATGTAAGACTTCATTGAGAGACACTGATGTTGATGACTGACTACTTCCATTAAAAACTACACGTAATTTAGTTGAAACACTACTTGGTTTTATAACTGCATGATGAGGCAGAAAGAATCTTTTTATTTCCTTTTGTGTGTCTGATGGAGATGAAGAAGTAGGTATGTAAGATGCATGACCTAAGTTTATGTATTCATCAATGAATTCAGAATATTGTTTATGAAGTTCTGGATTGTTAGTGAATCTTTTCTCTAATGACATAAAGCACTTTTGAGCGATGCTGTAGGAGTCACCTAGCTGATCTAGCTTGTCTTGTATAATTGGAAGTTTTACTGTAAAGCGACCTGTTGGGTCTCTAGTAGTTGTGCTTTTGTAAAGTTCTTCGCAAAATATGTGTTCTGGTGTAAGTATTGGGGAAGATTTTAGTTCCTCTTGCTCCCAAAACCGTTTTAATAATTCATCACAAGATTGTTCACAAGTTATATGAGCTGATATAACTGAGTTTTTGTTAAAGTGGGTGTCTGTATGAGTTAATGTGTGGAAATTATTCAATGTGTGGACTGTATTATGATATAAAGATTGCATTGTTAATTCAATTTCTCCTGTCACTACCCATCCAAAGACTGTATTAATGAGTGTGGGACGGTTTTTACCTAATTGTATACTGCCCTGTAGAAGAAGCGAGTAGAATAAATGTCCACCAATGAGCAGGTCAATGGCCTTTGGGACATTAAATGTGGGGTCTGCTAATTCATATTCTTTAGGTAACTTGAAGTTAGCGAGTGGTATATAATTCTGTGGTAGCTTTGTTGAAATTTGTTCAGTAACTACACAGGTTAATGTTGTGGCATAATTGCTGTTACAAGATGCAATATTAACTATTGTAGATTGAGATGAGTGTGTGGGATCGCTACCTACACCATGTATAATGTAACCTTTCTTGTTAGAAAGTGGTAAGCTGAGCTTGTTAGCTAGCTGTTTTGTGATTAGACATACTTGGCTTCCGCTATCCAGTAAGGCAAGACATGTAGTCCATTCACCATTATCTTGCTGAACTTTAATAACAGCTGTAGATAGGTAAACTTGAACTTGGTCTGAGTGTAAATGCATAACTGAAGCTTGTTTGTTGTCACTAAAATTATTGGTACTTACCTTTGATTGGGAATCAGGTACCTTTTCTTTAGTTAATTTGTTTTGTGTATTGCCTACAATTGCAGCAGTATTACCAGACCTTGTAGACAAAGAGTAATTGTCAATATGAATAGCTGTATGATGCTTTTTAGAACAGATAGAGCAGCTGTTCTTTGAACATGTATGTTGAAATCTGTAAGGTTTTAAACAGTTAAAGCATAACTTATTAGATTTTACATAATCATTGCGTTTGACTGCACTCATTTCAAGGAATGATGGACACTTGTAAAGTTCATGAGACATGTTACATAGACTGCAGCTAGAAGTAACCGTTCCTACATGGGTGGATACTCGAGTCAGTTTAGGCTTATTATATATCTGAGTATTAGGTTTCATGACATTTTGATTCTGATCATACATAAGTTCAAATGCTCTTGCACGATGATTTAGAAAGTCTAATAATTGTGAGAGCTTTGGTAGTTCTTCACATTTATAATCAAGTTCCCAGGCAGATCTGAGACTCTGATCTAACTTTTGAATAATAATGTAAATAAGTATTAAATCCCAGGTATCTACTGGTACATTTAAAGCTTTGAGTGAATCTAGGCTTTGTTGTAATCTTGTAAGGAAGTTTTTAAGATTAATCTTACTAATAGATGTAACTGATAATATGTTTTTTAAATGAAAGTTAACAGTAATTAGTTTGTTGTCGTACCTTTTAGTAAGTATACTTAACGCATGTTGATAATTTTCTTCAGTAACTGTGAGGGAGTCGATGAGACCGGCAGCTTCCCCGCGTAGTAACGACTTCAGGTATTGAAACTTCTGGAGGTGTGTCAGTTGCTCATGCGAGTCGATAACTCCATCGAATAGGGATTTAAAGCTGGACCATTCTGTTAGGTTTCCATCGAAGCTTGGAATCTGTAAATTCGGGATTTTAGTAACAGATGGCTTTAAGTTGGGTTGAAGCACCGATTGACACGAAGATGCAGAGCGGTTGAGTTCGTGTTCTTTCAGGATTTCTGCGATCTTAGCTGCATACGAGAAATACTTTTCTTCAGTGGAAGCTCGCTCTTGTTCGTGCGATTTTGTTGCTTGATCATCTATCATTTCGATGTCTTCTTGTGTGGTATTGTACTTTTCATATAATCCCGCCATTTCTGTTTGTCTGGTCTGAAGCTCGAATATTTTCTCATGGTTCTTTTGCTCGTCGACAAAGTTGTAAATTCTTTTTAGACGGCCTTTATAATTACTTCTGCGGTTTATTAACCTTTCTAAAGTGTCTGTTGACATATTTAAGTTTTGCTGAAGAGCTGTAGATGCGCTGTTGCGCGGCAGGCGTTGCGGGCGTGGTGCCGCTGTACTCCGATGCCGTTTATTTTGTAAAATAATTAATCACTGTAACACCAGTGTAATCCGTATCGTTTGGACCAGAAAGTTTTGTTACTAATTTTGGGTTAAAATAAAAGATTAATTAGAAATCTTTAAATATAATTTTTTAGGTTATAAAATTACCCGCTCAATCTAATGTGACAAATGTAATGAGAGAGAGTTATAATAATCATAGACATTGTGTTTTTTTTTTAAATCCGTAACAGGTAGATAGAATCAAACTTGCCAAATGTACACAAAAATTACCTACGTCTACGAACGCACTTAAGGTACCTATCTGTAGGAGTGCCTTAGTTATTTACATGTATTTTAACGAAATTTAAATTTACGTACAAGTTAAAATGATTTATGTTATGACATTTTCATACGGTAATCCAGACTTCGACGTCTCATATGGACTTTATACCTTTAATTATAATGGACTCGGTTTACTCAGCCAGTGAAAGAGTAGCTTAAATATATAGCCTTTGTAGCGGTAATTTTTATAAAGTGAATTTATTTTTTTAATTAGTCTGTGCAATTAGCGTCTGATTTATATTAGCCTGTACAGCACTAACAGAGGTGTGTTGACAAAGCGGCTAATTCGTCGCCGACACTTGGCGCTTGAGTCTGCAACGACTGGCAATTTGCTTTAACGCCCGCCCGCGGCGCGCGTGCCCATTGATTACGTCCGTCACGTTATGGTAATGATGTGAAACTGGAAAGAAACTAGAAAGAAGCAATTTAAGCAAGGTGACACGTGTGGTTTTTACCCTGTGTGCGAATACCAAATTCTTGAAAACATGTATTGAAGTGGATCAACTTTAGTATTAAAAATAATTACAGTTTTTTTATTCAACAACAAGCCCATGAGAGAAACCTGAGGTTTAATAAAATAGTTGAACTTAACACTTGATTTTTACTCGACATTTCTAAAATATCGTAACGGTTCCAAAACTAAATTGACATATAGATTAACTAAAAAAAATGCAGTTAAAACTTTGTTATGTAAACTACGTTGTTATAAATCTCTTGACGTACTACAATGCGAATGCGCTTCAGCACGCGTTGTAACTAACACGTAATGATTAACCGGGAGTCGTGTGAAAACTGGTAATTTCGCTAGCTTTGTGCCGCGGCGTGGCGTTTGATTTGTCGACGTCAATTACGAGCTAGATTAGCGGATTCAGGGCGGTTCGTACCGGTTGTGGGCGGTTTGGGAAACACGAGTGCGATTGTTTGTTTTGCTAATCGTAACTATTAAGTGTCCAATTACTTGCTTGAAAAAGTTACGAATACAATTGGGTGTGGTGAATAGTTATTCAGGTTTATTTTAATCGCAATGTTTGTGGTCAATGTTACTTTGATTTGTAAATGATTATGATGAAGTGGTTTTATTTTTATTTTTTTATTATCAGGTAGCAAAACCTTTTAAAGCTTTCGTGTGACTAAATAATGTAATATTCATAAACATCAGTAAGTGATTTCCGCTGGATTTACTTATTTGACTAGTTTTCTTATTTCCACCTATCTAGTACGTTTCTAATACTTATGATGTCACCTAACAAAGCTTAATTAACATAATAATAAAAAATAGTATGTATATGTTATTTAAATTAATAGACTTCCAATGTATATATCAGAGTATGAAATGATTGACGAGACAGCTCACTGTCGTGCCACGCTTATTGGCTCCGCGGTTCTAATCCGTGAACCGGATTTGTCCGGTTTTCACCGGTTGCGGCCGGAATGCGAGCCGGTCGAATCCGGATTTTACAGCGAGTGAGCGAGGCGCTGTACGGATGTGCAGCCACCGTGTATTTGGTTTCTGGATAGCGTTGAATATTTCCTTTTACTTGACTTGTTTATTGGATGACTAACTGACATCCAATAAACAACCGTTGGATGTTTACTGAGAGTTTGGAAAAAGGCTTCTATGATCCTATTAGTTTAAAGTTAATAGCATAATCTCCAAGGGATAACTGTTAAAAACTTATTAAAAAAATAATATTGTTTCAGTAAAAACTATTCGAGTTTTAATATTTATGTAACATGAAAGAAAATAAGTGTGAAAAGTGTCATGATAGGCGGCAAGTTGGTGTCATCTGGGGCGCAATATGTATGATTTAATTAGAAATATAAGCCAACGACGAGCGTCGTATTTAAAAAGGCATATCAACGCACATATTTCAAACTAGCTGAATAAAATAATGAGTAGTAGTGTGAAAATCTTTTCAACGCCCGAGAAAAACAGTCATTCATACGGCGAAGTCTCAACCCCTAATGAGCATAATCAAATAGCTACCGGGAAAGAGGAAGGCGCGACAGCGGAAGGGCCCAGGGCTGACAATGACGCAGCCGGCCGCGGGCGTACACTAATTGTCTAAGTGCATAATGAACTTGTTTGTGACAACCCTACGGAACTTTGAGACGAGCCTCGTTTGCAAAATTGACTTTATGAAATAAATTTTAGAATTTAATTTTGAAATGATTAGATGTTGCATTAACACACCCTTTCGGTAAACTAGTAGTTTGAATTTAAGTTTTATTTTATTTGATTTTAAGTTGAATTTTGATTGTTGAGTTTTAAATAATGTAAGTTAAATAGGAAGCAATAGTAGGTTGTTGTCGCCCTCGGTGTTGTCTGCGGCGCACACTCGCCTTTGTTTCTCGGGTTAATTAGAAAGTTCGGTCGCGCAAATATCGCACAGAAGTTAATTTAAAGAGAAACAACTTTATAATCATGTGTGGAATTCAACAAAATAAATCATGAATAGTTTTATATAAGATTGTATATTAGAAAAACGTTATACTTTCTTCTCTCTCTATTTTACCCAATACTGCAGATTAATGACATTGTTTGCAGAATCATTGCGTGCATCTACAACATTTTTAATTAACTAGCTATCGCCTGGGACTCCATCTGAGCGGAGTTAAAAACTTAATTAGTACCCTATGTGTTATTCCAGACTATGTTCTACACATTTCCTAATTCCATCGAGATCGATTGAGTTATACTGGTGATACCTTCTAACAAACATCTATCCATACAAACATTCGCGTTTATAATATTATTAAGATATGCATTATACAAAATTTAAGTGAATTTATAATTTCTTTATGACCGTTTTCTCCAGATTTCTAGACAGTAAATGCTTTGAAGTACTCTTAGTTTAATGGAGATGGAAGTTGGATCCATGTATTTAAAATTGCACATTGAAATTGCTTCAATTAAAACATGATTAATATTGAAATACCGTCACAAAATGTAACTGAATTGTGATGATAAATATTTTGAAATTTAAATATTAATTATAATTATTACAATCTTCTAAGAAAATAACGGTCTTTAGTACACAATTCAATGATCTAAGGCGGTTATAAAAAAACAAAGCACTATCATTGTTTTTGTCAGTTTTGTGAACGGTAACACTTAACAGACGGACCGTTTGCTTTGTGTTTAATATATTTATTGCGGTTTCGAGCGTCTTTTATTTTTAGTTTTTTTTGTTTTTGTTTACCGATGCACACAGACAAAGATAATTCTGTTCAATGTATTGTTCTATTTGTTCTCTTTTGTTTTACAATAGAGATGCTACAATGTGTCGATGAAGGAGACATTTCGTGTAAAAGATGAGGTAGTTTACAACCACTGTTTCATTGCAATGGTTTATGAATTTGCCACGCGTTTTTACGTTGTTTTAATCTTACTGTTATTCTGTATTTGAAGTTAGAAATAACTAAAATATTCCATATATATACACAGACTTTTTTGTCGCAGACAATTTTTTTTTTAAAGTTAGTATATTTTTTTTAATTCACTAATTATTTTGTACTTTTCTAACTAAGCTTTACGCTTGCTAGGATATGGTTTACGACAATAGTCGAATGGTTGATTACGAAACCACTGACCACGTAATTGGAAATCCATACCCTTAAACATTCGGGTATTGACGCTTCAAACTATTGGTCTACATTACTAATTTAGTTTATCTTCAAACAGCGTTGCTTATCATAGTATGGCATTGTAGAGTATTAACCAATATATACAGCGTAATATCAAAAGAATGACAAATACGAAAAGATTCTCAGCCCCATTCACAGAAATCTATTCTAAGTGATATGATAAGATCATTCCAAAATGAATAAAATATGGAAAAAAGCGAACCTAACAACTAAGTGGAAATCAGACTAATACAGTATAGATATATGTATGTATATCAAGATATCGTCGAGTGCTACATTGAGATAAATTTTAATTACATGAATATGTAAATAAGCAAAATTTCCGATCATTTTGTAAACACATCGATGTGGAAAATTGTAAAAAAAATACGCGAAAAATATACGATACGTGGGCGACGTGCTGTAATTGAATTAATTGGATAATATAATTAAAAAAATCCATAAGTATGAATCTGGTCGGGCACAATGTGTACATTATGGAGATTGCCCTACCCGACTGCTCCCGGCACAATGCGAATTATCATTGGAGACCATTAACGTGGTGCATTCTCATGAAAAATAATGGAAACGCCCGACTCGCGCGACGGCGGGCCCGGCCGCACCACGCAGAACACACGCTTAATCATAGATTAAACTAAAGGTTAAGTGTATAATATAATTATTATTAGTTTAAAATTGGTAAACTACGATATAAGAAAACGTAGTTTTTCAAATAAATATACATACTTTTTCTAACACCAATATTTACAAAACTATTTTCTCTTCTATTCATTTTTAATTAATTTCTCGTCAAACCTTTAACCAGAAAACAAATTATGTAAGTATAAATTCATTGGATTTATACTGATTTACTTACGATTATGAAAGCAAATGATATAAAATCTGGCAGAATGATACCAAAACTTTTGCCTTATTTAAAATTAAAAAGTCAATGCAATTACTTGCATTTTTAACGAACGTTAAGTTTTTATAATTTTTGTAACTGGCCACACAGAATTCCTTAATGGTATGTCGGGTGAGGTGTCAAGGGAAATTTGAGTAAATTAAAATAGGAAGATAGGGCGAATAAGGCTGCGCGCGGTATTGTACT